ATTAGCTCAGCCAGGGTCTGAAAAAACTAGGAAATCTATCAGCAGACTACTCTTTGGATTACGGTGCTGTCAGTGCTCAACAGCTCCTGGTGAGAAGAAAAGTCAAGGGATATGTGTGCATTATGTCAGCCCACAGGATGCACTGTGTCACTCAGCCTAGGGAGGAACTGGAATTCTCAGAAATGTTCATAGGTGAATAACCAGAAGCACTGACTTTCCCAGGAGGAAAGAAACACACACATACGTGTGTGCAAGGAGAGAGAAAGACACAGAGGGAGGGAGAGGTATATATGTACACAGCGGTTCTGGGGGGAAGGAGCTCTATGGATTAGTCTAAACATATATAACTGATCACTGTAATCTGAACATCAGTGTCGACGGTGAAAGAAATGACTGCTAACTCTCCAATTTTTTTCAATTACTTGTAAAGAAAAAGCTGGCAGTTATCTCATGCTCAGTGGAGAGTGTCTAGAGAGGAACAATAGAAACAGCTCCACAAGTGATGAAAACTTGGAGTGGAAAAAAAAAGCTCATGGCTCCCCATGCACTTCTCTTTCTCACTGCCTGTCCTTAAATGCATAGATACACATATCACCTGTAGGGGGTGGAATGGTGGCCCCCAAAAAGATATGTCCACTTCCAAATGTGAATGTGACCTTATTTGGAAAAAGGGTCTTTTGCAGATGTTATTAAGGATCTTGAGACGAGATCCTGGATTACCCAGGTGGGCCCTAAATCCAGTGACAAGTGTCCTTATAAGAGACTAGAGAGGAGAAAACATGGACACACACAAAGGAGAAGGTCATGTGAATCAGACAGAGGCTGAGATTGGCATTTTGCAGCCAGTAGCCAAGGAACACCTGGAGCCACCTGAAGCTGGAAGAGGCAAGGAAGAATTCTCCCCTGGAGCCCTCAGAAGGAGCATGATGCTGCTGACACCTTGATGTCTGACTTCTGGTCTCCGAAACTGTGAGGAAGTACATTTCTGTTGTTTTAGGCCACCAAATTTGTGCTAACTTATTACGGCAGCCACAGGAAACTAATACACTGCCCACCATCCTTCCCTCTGAATCAACCACTTAGAGGTATTAATACTCTAAGAAGTATTAATCGAAATCCTTTGTTGCCATCCAAAAAAAAGTAAATCAGATGCTCATAAAATACTTTACACTTAACTTCTTCCTCTAACATAAATCCCCAAAACAAGACACATTTGGATAAGGTGAAAAGGATTTCCCGCTGTTCAAACACCCGATCAGCTTGTGCATTTCTATCCTTTACAAAGTTTACGTATGGTTACTTGTGCCTAACAGGGTCTTCCTCACACTTGTTATCAGCCAGGTTTGGACAGCTCTGTCCTGCCCATGTTGCAGCGTAAAGGAGTGTTAGGTTATTTCAGTATGTCAGGTATAATGGTAATACTCCTACTTCAATGTGGCTAAAAGTCCTAAGAGCCCAGTTATACATTTTCTGCAAGTCCTGGGCTCTAAACAGTCAGACAGACCAAATACAGAAATAATTTTCCTTGGCCAAGCAATAACTTGGAAACAACTGCTTTGAGGGAGTAAGGGTAGGAGAAAAGGAGAGGTGCACCTCTTCTGGGTTGTCCACCACTGTCTTTCTTCTCACAACCACGCTGTTTTCTATCACTGCTCCCTGAGATGCTTCCCTACCAAGAACAGCAGTACAAAGCTTGCTGGAGAATTTTTTTTTCCC